CTTTGACAGGACAACTCTTGTGATTGTTTTGGATAGATGTTCAGGAGCCTACACCAGACCACAAATTCTGTGTCAACACTGCAGTAGGAGAACTACCGCTTCTAGCAGTTCTGCTCTTGGAGGGTCAATCTTTCTTTTGAAATGACTGAACTCCTAACTACGCCGGTAATCATGGTATAGCTAAAGCCAAATAAAAATTACTGGATGAGAGATCTAGGGGCATACTCCAGAACAAGTCAATTTGCATGTATCTCAATCACAGTATCCTACTCACAAGACAAGGAAGTGCTGTATTAAGCCTTCTGATCCTAGGTATACGAAGCATTAAGTATACCTTGTTCACTTCTGAGAAAGGGTCTTCTGTTTAAGTCAATTCAAAATTTAGCTTCCTCAATGGCAAGAAACAGATGGATTCTGCTTCAGGATTAAGACAGTGCTTTCTTACTACAAGAAAATCTCAAAGGAAATACAGGAGTTAAACAGTTCCCAACTCACTGGTTTTCACCAAAGCGCCTGCAATTGGTTCATTACTATGTTGTTTAACTCGCAGAAACAGACAGGAGTCTAAGTTCACTCAGCCAAAGATTCTACAAGAACAAGCAAGTTATCAATACGTTTTTAAAGACAATAACATACAGCCTTGGAATGTAATTTAATCATCCTCTTAAGAGGGTAAGTGAAACAACTCAGGTTACACACTTTTTGTATCCTTACTTAGCACATTTTCAATATCTCATGTACAAAAATGCTGTTAGCCCCAGAACCATTTTGTGGTATTCAACTAAGGAAAGAATCCACTCAGACAAAACACTATGAAGAAACAGATGGAAAAAGTGATGAGGGATGTGCTTTGTCAAAGACTTTGCACACATCAAGTAAAATAGAAATGTAAAATGCCATTATTTCAAATGCAACTTCCTATGCTTTCTTTGTGGTTATATATAGATAGCTCTCCCAGGCTTTTTATAAATGTTTAATAGTATTATTTGCTTGTACAAGCTCGGAATTTGAGATGAGGTCTTCAGTTCAGCTCAGACTTAATTGATGTGATATCTCTGTACTGTAATTTCTACCTGTTCAGCTTATACTGTCTCCTAAGTGCAGAGCTTCTAATTGGAAGTTTTCCCCAAATCCCACTCCCTGGTACATTGCTGGGCAGCACGTGTAAGGTACAGCATAACCACGGCAGAAAACCTACTGCATAGGAAAACTGTAGGAGAAACTGTAGGTTTGTTGGGTTTTTTAATTGCTGCAAGAACAAATAATCAGTCTTTCATGCAACTATCCTCTCTGTAATTTTGCCTATATATTAAGAAAGTTCAAGAAAGTGGAAAAAGCAAAATAATTTAATCACTTTCTAATTAAGGCACAGTTTCTTCAGTTGTTTTGCCTTCCCAGCAGACACATCTGGAAGGAAACCCCTGGGACACTATACTGATCTGTCGCCCACAGCATCCAAGAGTGAACGCCAAAGAAACTGTTCTGTACTGCTTATTCCCACCACCACCACCATCACACCATACCTCAAGATGGGCAGAAACAGAACCTCAGTGTCACAAATGTACCATGGACTTTCTAAGCAGTATAGAGACACTTTTTGTTTTAACCTTTCCTAATAATTCCTATTGTTTGCTGTTCCAACTGCACAGGGGTGACTTTTTATGCAACAGCATAAGATTTTAGTCTTCACTGACTGATAAAATAACTTTCCTCACTTTTTCTGATACCTACCACATTGCTAGATGGATTTTTATCAAGAAAAGAAGTGAAGTGAGATAAAAGATGAAGGGAAGAAGATAAATGGATTCCTCAGTGCAAACACTGAGCATAGTACAGGCTGAGCACACTCAGCTCTTGCCTCCTAACAGCTGCAGTCAGACAAAATAGCAGCACCCACTAGATCAACAATACACACAGGTCAATGGGGAAAGAAAGACCACGACCTCATTTCTCCAGCACCATTTTTCCCTATCACATCAGCTTCCATCACCATCCCACTTTCCTATCACTCATTTCCTAACCAGAAGGAAAAGTTTCAATCAAAGAGTGAACGTTGGGAAATACTGGAATGAGGATGCAGTAATACAAAATTGATGCAAAAAAGAGTTCTCGTGTGTCCTGAGGATACCTCTGTAATTTAATCAGTGTTAGAATTAGAAAGAAAATTGTAAAAATCATGTTAAAGACCAAGGTGTCCAAATATAGGACATGCCAAATATTGGTCAATGCCTCAGGCATGTAGTCTTTATCCCAGGCTGAATTTCAAATGAAGCAAGTTAAGGTAGGGCAGTTTCACAACTCCACTTTTTCTAATATTTTAAACAGATGCCTAAACATAATACTGATAACTATAATGAAAAATCTATTATATACTTATATCTTCTTTTAATTAATTTTCCAATTAAATATTATAAGTAGTTTTCAGCAACTGATACTCTGCATCATTTTGCATGCTGCTTGCATTGTGCTTTCTTTATTTAAGGGACCAAGCAGTCTTCATATTTAAACAAGTAAGAGATAAAAATGATTGAAAACACTAGTCAAAGTTGATTCTCAAGTGTAACGAGTCTGGGAATTTGAGCCATCAAAGCTTCCCAGACAAACACTTCACTCACAGCACTTGCATGGGGGAGCCTCCATGCATGTGCAAAGCCCTGGGCAGGCAGAGGTGGGGAATGGGCACGGGGGCCGGCTGTACAGTAACTGCCCGCTCCCTCATAAAAAGCTGAAACTGAAGTTAACGCTGACCTCAGTCTCTGTTACAGGCAGAGATTAACTGTGTTCCCTTCTTCAAACTGCTGAATTCCAAAACAGACATACGAAAGCTCAAAAAAAGTAAAGTAGAAACACGTATTAAAAGAAAGCACAAATACCAACGCCACATGTTTGTATCTATGGAATGGCTGATGAGTTTGGTGAAGAGGGATAGGTGACTGCTTCACATCAATACAGAACTCACCTATTGGAAAGGATAACCCCAAAAGGCAGAATAAAGGAAGAATGTTTGGTTTCAAAGGCAAGAA